ATAATATATAGGTTGTGTGGGGTCTATGTTCTCCTATTCCACATTCCATAACATGACATTTATTAACATTAAATTCCATTTGCCAAGTGGTGCTCCATATACTTATTTTGTCCAGGTCTTTTTGAAGGGCATGACAGTCATCTAAATTTCTTATCCTTCCTATTATCTTAGCATCATCAGCAAACATGTTCATATAATTCTGTATACCAACTGGTAGATCATTTATGTACACAATAAACATCACTGGTGCAAGAACTGAACCCTGTGGTACTCCACTTGTGACATTTCTCCATTCCGATACATTGCCTCTGATTACTGCCCTCATTTTTCTATCAGTCAGAAAATTTATCATCCATGTTAGAAGCTTACCTGTCACCCCTCCAATATTTTCCAGTTTCCAGAACAACCTCTTATGTGGAACTCTGTCGAAAGCCTTTTTTAGGTCCAGATAGATGCAGTCAACCCAACCATCTCTTTCCTGTAATATCTCTGTTGCTCGATCATAGAAACTGAGTAAATTCGATACACAGGATCTTCCAGATCGAAAACCATACTGTCTGTCTGATATTATATCATTTCTCTCTAGGTGTTCTACCCATTTAGTTTTGATTAGTTTTTCCAATACTTTCACTATTACACTTGTCAATGATACAGGTCTATAATTGAGGGGGTCTTCCCTGCTGCCACTTTTGTAGATTGGAACTATGTTAGCCTGTTTCCACCCGTCTGCTACGATTCCTGTACACAGGGATGCCTGAAAGATCAGGTGAAGTGGAATGCTGAGCTCAGATGCACATTCTCTCAGAACCCATGGTGAAACGCCATCTGGGCCAGCTGCTTTGTTCTTACCGAGCTCCTTGAGCATTTTTTCCACTTCGTCTCTAGACACCTCTATGTGTTCTATGTTGTTCTCTGGAATTCTTATTGTATCTGGTTCCCTAAAGATTTCATTTTGTACAAACACACTTTGGAACTTTTCGTTTAGTGTTTCACACATTTCCTTTTCATCTTCCGTGAATCTATTTCCCATTTTCAACCTCTGAATATTATCCTTTACCTGCAATTTGTTGTTTATGAATTTATAGAATAGACCTGGTTCTGTTTTACATTTGTCCGCAATCCCTTTTTCAAAATTTCTTTCTGCCTCTCTCCTCACTGCCGTGTAGTTGTTTCTCGCATCTTTGTATCGCTGGTATGTTTGGGGGTTCGGCCTCTTCCTGTATTGATTCCATTTTTGTGTCTTTCGGTCTCTAGCCCTCTCGCAATTTCTATTGAACCAATCCTGTTTCCTAGTTCTGCATCTCTGTTTTGGTATAAATTTTTTTGTGCCTTTATCATATATTTCACAAAACTTGCCATACATCTCATTCACTTCCTTGCCTAGCATCAAGTCTGTCCAATTATACTCACTAAAAAAATTTCTAAGGTCACCATAATGTCCTCTCCTGAAGTCTGGTTTTTCAACTGCTTCAACCTCCTTATTTTCTTCCAGCTTATAACGCATTGCATACTTTATTCCCAAAAAGACATGGTCACTTTTACCCAAGGGAGGAAGGTACTGAATGTCAAATATCTCTTCCTCCTTCCTGGTAAATATCAAATCTAGCATGGAGGGAACGTCCCCTTCCCTCATCCTCGTAGCTTGTTTAACATGTTGATACAAGAATGTTTCCAGGATGAGGTCTACAAATTTACAGGTCCAAAAATCTTCTGTTGTAGCTTCATATGCTTCCCAGTCTATGGATTTCAAGTTGAAGTCACCGACTATCAACAGTCGTGATCTATCGTTATCCGCTCTCGCTATAATCTCTCTCATTATTGTTATAAGACCTTCACGTTTACTATCTAGCTCCTCCTTTGACCATGTGCTGCTTGGTGGTGGACTATATGCATTTATCATCATTAGTGTATCATCCTCATAGCAGATCTCTAGTGCTATTATGTCAACTTCTTGTGGATTGGCAGTCATTATTTCCTTCACCTTTAGGTGTTCTTTTACCAGCACAGCAACGCCACCGCCTTTCCTAATTTTTCTGTCCCGTCTCCAAATTGAGTAGCCCCTCGGGAATATGACCTCATTTAAAATTACATCTTCAAGTTTTGTCTCCGTGAGTGCAACAATGTCTGGTGTCTGCAGCTGTATTACATCACTTAACTCCAGTATCTTCGATCTCACTCCATCTATGTTGGTGTATGCAATCTTCAGGAACTTGTTCCCCCTCTCCTTATTCTTCACTCCCCCTCTCTCTATTGATTTTGTTGGTTTGCCTTTATGTACCACTTTACTGGTTTGCCTACCCCTATCACTTTGTAGAAAAAAGAATTTATTTCTTCTTCATTCCTGCTCTCATTTAAATGTTTTGCCTCGGCGAGGTTCAGTTTCAGCTTCTCTCTATCTTCTTTTGAAAGATCTCGTCTTAATGACCACCCTTTCCCATCCTCATCCCTTTGCAATTTTCTAGCATTCCTTAGTACTTCTTCCATCTGTTTGGCACCGTTTAGGGTGATCCTCAAAGGTCGATCTTTCCCTTTTACGTACCTGCCTATTCTCCTGTAGTCGCACACATTCTCTCTGTTTGTAAGACCTTCCACGAGGCCAACAATTTTATCTACTACTTTAGCTTCTTCTACAGCTCTTTCTGACCTAGATGTTATCGCCTTTTCTTTGCAGCCAAAAATGATCAGGGACTTACTCCGATCAACTGTGTTTTGCACCAACTTCGGGTTAGATGCCAATTCTTTCCTCACTTCTAGCCTAATGTTTGTTTTATCTTGGTTGCTGCAGTGTTTGACTTCCTTTACTGCTTCTTCTATTTTTTCCTTCTCCTTGTGCTTCTGTCCCTCGTGTTATACACAGTGCTGCGCCATTAGTGAAATATTTTTTTACATAACTTTTTTATTTTCATAGTAACTTTGAACAATTTTGGCCAAGACTATGTCTGGTAGCAGCATCAATCGTTCTGGAAGTGTTAAGAGGAAGAAGATTGTCCTAGCAATTAAAGACAAGTTACATGTTGTTCAACCAGTGAGGCGTCACAGGCAGCCAAGCGCCTTCAACAAGTGAGGCGCTACAGGCAAGCCAAGCGCTTTCAACAAGTGAGGCTTCACAGGCAAGTCAAGCGCCTTCAACAAGTGAGGCGCAAGCAAGCGCCTTTAACAAGTGAGGCGTCACAGGCAAGCCAGGCGCCTTCAACAAGTGAGGCCTCACAGGCAACCCAAATGCCTTTAACCAGTGAGGCTTCAGCAGCTGGCAGTCAAAACTAACTTAGCTTATGAACTGTACAGTAATTTTAAGTGTTAATTTTAGTGTTGTGTTAGTATAGGTTACGTAAATTAAGAATTTTTAACTTCAAGATGTGTGGCATCAATCAAGAAGACGAACACCAGCAAGGTAAGTTGAGGTTTCTAGTTGAATATTTAATAATTGTATGTGGCAAGGCAATTCAAATTAGGTTGTTTGTAGTATAAAAATAGTTGGAAATGGTCACTTTTGGACTCATAGGTGAAAAAGTACCATTATCCGAAAAATGTGATAATCCGGCTGGGGGTCCTTCCCATATAGTCCGGATGATCGAGTGGAGACAGTATCTCTATGACGGCTTGGTCTACAAGCTATCAGACAAAAGTATCACTATTCAACCATTCAACACATGACTCAATCAATGATCCCAGGTTCAATTCTTATGTGGGACAGAAAGGGTTGGGGACATTTCCTCTAACCTGATGCCTCTGTTTACCTAGCAGTAAATACATATCTGGGAGTTGAGCAACTGCACGATTTGCATGCTGTGGAATGTCAGTGGTTAGCCTATAGCAAATGAAAAACTATGTCAGTTTTCAAATTACACTCAATAGCTCTGTTACCAGCATGTTTCAAAGCTCTAGTGTAATACTTGTTAAACATGGTTTATTTTTAGGGGAGGGGGGGGGGCCAAAGGGAGGGATGCGCGAGAGGGTTCAACATTTCTACCTGCCGAAGGACATAACACAAATATGTTTTGATATATGCTGAAAATTTACTTTATGATTTATTGAAATTTCTGACATACAGCTAGGCAGTTCAATTTTCTTTTTGTATAAAGTCAAACAGAAATTATGAGAGCTCACGGACACATTATTAAAAGATGAACCATGCAATCTAATTTTGCAAAACAATGGATTGAAATTAAAAATGGATTAGTTTCCTCTAAAAATGCAAATAAATGCTTTTTACTATAGTCCAAACAACAGTTGGGTTGTAACTGATATGTGTGTCTGTGGGCTGCTTCAAGCAACAGCCTTTTAGATCAAGTTATCACAAGAAAGGCCTCACCCCCAGGCTGGGTTTGGAGAGAACAACAACTCCCTGAATAAGACTCCTAGTAAGTAAATTCCTAGGTCAAACTAACTACACACACTCCTTCCAGTTGGTTTGTTGGGACTCCAACTAAAACTGGAGTGATAAGGTACATGCCCCCCAGAGCTATAGCTGCCTCTAACCCATCAACAATAACAACCATCACTCGCCTTCCAACCCACATCACTGCCTTTTTTTTTTTATAACGCATTATGATTTTTCCGGATTATGGCTGGAGAAGTTCCAACAATTTTTCCATTTTTACCTTTGGCCCCCACAGCCTTGCTAAGGTTTATTTCCTAATCTTAAGCATTCAAAGCCACTACCCCAAATTATTTGTCCATACATTTCCATTAAAAAAATTATAAATTTATCTTACTACTCTTAAAACAATGATAGGTACAAGGTGGTCACAGTGTCTTTCATGAGTGCAAACTTAAAAAAAAAAAAAAAAAAAAAAAAAAAAAAATATAAAGATTTGTCAATAACCACGAATAATTTTTGCCCCCCAGACCAACAACCAGGAGGCCTAGTCACAAGACCGAGGTGCAGGGACATTGATCACCACAACCAACATATGGGAAACATACAGTAATGTAGGGATCCATACCTAAATAACCGTTACATTAACAGCCAATGAGGAAATCGTGGAAATGTAACTCACCTTCTCTATGTCTTTTGTTAGATGCTGGAACATTGCCAGAAAGGTCCATAACAGTACTGGAATTCTCAAGTTCACTTTCTCCTTCTCTGGACTCTTGAACACCACTATGAACTCCACTATCCTCCTGCTCCTCCCCAGCCTCTTCAGACGTCAATGACCCGTTGTTCACTGCACTCAGTTCACTTCCCTCTTCTTCTTCATCACCCCGCCTTAAAAGAAAATGAGTAGACATTAACACTTTGCAAAATCATGCAACAAGAAAAAAAAAAGTACATTGGAAAACAATCGGAAAGGCAAGGTCCAAGAATTAACAGCTCTATTACGCATGCACAAATAGGTGAATCCTCTCACTCGCACACACAATAGGTTATGAAACTAGACGGGGTGCCACAGGGATCAGTGGTAGCCCCAATACTGTTAATTATCAAATATCTATAACCTGCCAAAGGGAATATAGCTACAGGAAGGTGGTGCAAAAGTCCTCAATTGAATCAAGGATCTAAGATAGCATCATCCTTGAGCACGACCTGGACTAACTACCTATCTCTTCTTGGCTATGGAAAACAATCTTGCTATTGCCCAGTCTCTGACCGGGTTTCCCGGTTGATGGTCTCGTCAACTAGGCTGTTAGACCCATTGCTTCATCAGGTAGCCTTTGGAGGCACTTAGTTAACTAGCTAGTCGGTGTTCCAAAAGAGAATTAGACATGTTCCCCAAGTACAGAGGGAGTGTTGGAAAGTCTTGGGCGCATAATGTTGATAGCAGTCTCTCAGCACACCTATTGCACCTCTACTTTTTAATGGGGCTATTCAGTACTTCCTGCCTGGTCTCATGACAGCTATTTTCATGTGCAGATTTAGAACCAGAACCTTTAATAGTGTATTTTCCAAGATTAAATTATTTTGCCCCTCTCTTGTCTACGTTCTAGAGAATACAGATTTAAACACTAAGCTGTCCCAATAACTTACATGTTTTATTGAATGTATTTGGGTAGAATAGGACTTTTGCACATTCTCCGGGTCAGCAGTTTCTCCAGCTTTAAATAGAGCTCTAGGTGTGCAACAATATTCCACTTTGAGACCACTAGTGTCTACAAAAGTATAACTGCTCTGGTATCTTGTTTGAAAGGTTCTTGTTATCCAACTTGGCATTTTGGGGGAAGGCAATTGTGACGGCTACTTTATTGTGCTTGGTAATACTTACCAAACTTTCGGTAACTTGGTTTGGTTTGTGTTTGGTTTGGGAAGTGACTGGGCGACGGTTTCCGGCCCGGAAAACAGCGGTCACCGGAGAACAAAAACCACCAGTCCCAAAAGAAATATCACGCTGCACCGTGTGAAACAAAGACCTTAAGGCTGTTCCCCCCATAACATTAGGGGGGAAACACCCCCAACACTTAAGGCCATGCAATCAGCCCGTCTTGCTAAGGTTTACCATTGTCAAGAGACTGTCGTACTAAAGTGGCCTTATCCTAACCCAACACAGAACCCAAACAGAAAACGGAACAGTGCGTCAATTTTGCGAGCCGCTTCCATTTACTGACACGACGATATGTTTGCCTAAGGTAAAGTACAGTATAGGTCAAAATGCGACGTTCTGTTTGGCGCTACCGAAGGCCTATCATGTTTTAAAGGGCAACCCACGTGGCCTTGTGTCTCTGGAATTCACACTCTACACTCACCAGGTCTAACTTTCCCCTCATAGTCCGTAGGCCTTGTGCCTGCCTCTTTTTCCTAGACCAAATTTATCTCAAGCCTGCTGTCATCACATGAGAGATCAGTGGCCGCAAGCTGTCAAAACATTAATTAAGGACCACCAGATACCAGTTGCTGATCAGAGCCTCGGCACATTAAGGACACTCATTCACGCCTCCCCCCCCCTTCCCTAACACATCCCCCTCCCCATGCAACACATTCTACACAAGCTAATTCAAACGGCCTATCCAGTTATACATACGCACCCATCAGTGTTGTATTAAGTATTGGTAAGGTTTAAACAGTTTTAAATTCAAGTGGGGAGAGTGACGGGGCGGGTGAGAGTGACGGGGCGGGTGAGAGTGACGGGGCGGGTGAGTGACGGGGCGGGTGAGTGACGGGGCGGGTGAGAGTGACGGGGCGGGTGAGAGTGACGGGGCGGGTGTGAGTGACGGGGCGGGTGTGAGTGACGGGGCGGGTGTGAGTGACATGGCGGGTGTGAGTGACGGGGCGGGTGTGAGTGACGGGGCGGGTGTGACAGGGCGGGTGTGAGTGACAGGGCGGGTGTGAGTGACGGGGCGGGTGTGAGTGACATGGCGGGTGTGAGTGACGGGGCGGGTGTGAGTGACAGGGCGGGTGTGAGTGACGGGGCGGGTGTGAGTGACATGGCGGGTGTGAGTGACGGGGCGGGTGTGAGTGACGGGGCGGGTGTGAGTGACAGGGCGGGTGTGAGTGACAGGGCGGGTGTGAGTGACAGGGCGGGTGTGAGGGGGGGGTGAGTGAGGGGGGGGGGGGTGAGTGGGGGGGGTGAGTAAGGGGGGGGGGGGGGGTGAGTGAGTGGGGGGGTGAGTGAGGGGGGGGGGTGAGTGAGGGGGGGGGGGTGAGTGAGGGGGGGGGTGAGTGAGGGGGGGGTGAGTAAGGGGGGGGGGGGGTGAGTGAGGGGGGGTGAGTGAGGGGGGGGTGAGTGAGGGGGGGGGTGAGTAAGGGGGGGGTGAGTGAGGGGGGGGTGAGTGAGGGGGGGGGTGAGTGAGGGGGGGGGGGGTGAGTGAGGGGGGTGAGTGAGGGGGGGGGGGGGGTGAGTGAGGGGGGGGGGGGGTGAGGGGGGGGGTGAGTGAGGGGGGGGTGAGTGAGGGGGGGGTGAGTAAGGGGGGGGGTGAGTGAGAGGGGGGGGTGAGTGAGGGGGGGGGTGAGTGAGGGGGGGGGGGGTGAGTGAGGGGGGGGGTGAGTGAGGGGGGGGTGAGTGAGGGGGGGGTGAGTGAGGGGGGGGGTGAGTGAGGGGGGGGTGAGTGAGGGGGGGGTGAGTGAGGGGGGGGTGAGTGAGGGGGGGGTGAGTGAGGGGGGGGTGAGTGAGGGGGGGTGAGTGAGGGGGGTGAGTGAGGGGGGGTGAGTGAGGGGGGGGGGGGGGGGTGAGTGAGGGGGGGGGGGGGTGAGGTGAGTGAGGGGGGGGTGAGTGAGGGGGGGGGTGAGTGAGTGAGGGGGGGGGGTGAGTGAGGGGGGGGTGAGTGAGGGGGGGGTGAGTGAGGGGGGGGGGTGAGTGAGGGGGGGTGAGTGAGGGGGGGGGGTGAGTGAGGGGGGGGGTGAGTGAGAGGGGGGTGAGTGAGAGGGGGGGTGAGTGAGAGGGGGGGTGAGTGAGGGGGGGTGAGTGAGAGGGGGGTGAGTGAGAGGGGGGGGGGTGAGTGAGAGGGGGGGGGTGAGTGAGAGGGGGGGGTGAGTGAGAGGGGGGGGTGAGTGAGAGAGGGGGGGTGAGTGAGAGGGGGGGTGAGTGAGAGGGGGGGTGAGTGAGAGGGGGGGTGAGTGAGAGGGGGGGTGAGTGAGAGGGGGGGGGGGTGAGTGAGAGGGGGGGTGAGTGAGAGGGGGGTGAGTGAGAGGGGGGGTGAGTGAGAGGGGGGGTGAGTGAGAGGGGGGGTGAGTGAGAGGGGGGGTGAGTGAGAGGGGGGTGAGTGAGAGGGGGGGGGTGAGTGAGAGGGGGGGTGAGAGAGGGGGGTGAGAGAGGGGGGGGTGAGAGAGGGGGGGGGGTGAGAGAGGGGGGGTGAGTGAGAGGGGGGGGTGAGTGAGAGGGGGGGTGAGTGAGAGGGGGGGTGAGTGAGAGGGGGGGGGTGAGTGAGAGGGGGGGGGTGAGTGAGAGAGGGGGGATGAGTGAGAGAGGGGGGATGAGTGAGAGAGGGGGGATGAGTGAGAGGGGGGGTGAGTGAGAGGGGAGGGTGAGTGAGAGGGGGGGATGAGTGAGAGGGGGGATGAGTGAGGGGGGGGATGAGTGAGGGGGGGGATGAGTGAGGGGGGATGAGTGAGAGGGGGGATGAGTGAGAGGGGGGATGAGTGAGAGGGGGGTGAGTGAGAGGGGGGGATGAGTGAGAGGGGGGGTGAGTGAGAGGGGGGATGAGTGAGAGGGGGGATGAGTGAGAGGGGGGATGAGTGAGAGGGGGGGGTGAGTGAGAGGGGGATGAGTGAGAGGGGGGGTGAGTGAGAGGGGGATGAGTGAGAGGGGGGGATGAGTGAGAGGGGGGGATGGAGTTAAATATTTATAAAGAAATGCAAGATGCCAGTAGCACAGGCACTCAGTATAGTGTGGAGGAAGAGCTTGGACACGGGGGAGATACCAGATGCGTTTAAAGTAGCAGACATAGCCCCTCTACACAAGGGAGGGAGCAAAGCATTGGCAAAGACTTATAGACCAGTTGCACTAACGTCCCACATAATAAAAATATTTGAGAGAGTGATCAGGAGTCAGGTCACTAGTTTCATGGAGACCAATGACCTTCACAACCCAGGCCAACATGGATTTCGAGCGGGAAGATCATGCCTCTCACAGCTACTTGAGCACTACGACAAAATCACTGAGGCATTAGAAGAAAACCAAAATGCAGAAGTGGTATATACGGATTTCACAAAGGCATTCGACAAATGTGACCATGGAGTGATAGCACACAAAATGAGGTCACTGGGAATAACTGGTAAAGTAGGACGCTGGATACTCAGTTTTCTGTCGAACAGAACACAGTAACAGTCAACCAAATAAAATAGAGTCCAAGCGCAGTTAAAAGCTCGGTACCTAAAGTTACAGTCCTTGCACCACTGCTTTTCCTTATTCTCATATCAGATATAGACTCAAATATAAGTCACAGCTTCGTATCATCCTTTGCATTTGACACAAAAATCAGCATGAAAAATTACCTCTGCTAAAGATATTGAAAACCTACAAGCTGATATTAATAAAGTTTTCGACTGGGCAGCAGAAAATAACATGATGTTTAACAGTGATAAATTCCAGGTGCTCAGGTACGGTAAAAATGAGGACCTTAAACATAATACAGGGTACAAAACACAATCAAATCTGCCCATAGTAGGAAAACAGCATGTAAAGGATTTGGGAATAATGATGTCTGACGACCTAACGTTTAGGGAGCATAACCAAGCAAATATTGCGTCGGCCAGACGTTATGTGGGGGTGAGCAAGGATGGTTGTGGGGAGGGAGGGAGAGTGAGCAAGGAGAGTTGTGGGAAGGGAGGGAGGGAGA